ATTTATACATTACTTGTAATTATTTACATGTATACGTTGTATGTACATACGTACATTGTGCATGTAACTATTTTTTTTTTGTATATCCATACTTTAGATACGCATAAGTATTAACAAAGCATGTAGTTATGCAAGTACATACGTACTTGCGCATAAGTACATGCATGCGTTGTACATAAGTACATACTTTGCGTGTTGTTGTTGTTGTTTCTTATCCTCTAATTGTCTGACGAAGTCAGACAAGATTTAGTAGGTTGTTGACCCTCAAAAAGTCGATTATAAGAAGTGGAGAAGCATATAAGTCTTCCTTGGAAAGGCCCAAGCAGTCGAGGATATGTTCAGCTGAGGCCTGCTGGGCTTCACATTTGGAGCAGACTGCATAAGTCTTTCTTCCTTCAAAGTACAAGAGACTATTCGTGTGTCCACTTGCCAGCCTGGAAATAGCTGTTTGAGATGCTCTATCACCTGTGGCTCTTCACCACAAGTGAAGAGCCCGGTTCCTTGGCAGCATACCAATGATGAGAGGGGGGGATCCTCCACTTTTTTTATAGATGGCTTTTGATTTTGGACTGATACTCTGAAAAGGTAAGGGCTGAGGACGAAGATGTTAAATGACTACAGCCCTCCTTGGCCAAGCGATCCGCTTGCTCATTTCCAAAGATGTCAACGTGGGATGGTATCCACTGAAGATGAACGTTGTGGTGCTTTGAAATAAGTTGAAGTTTAAGAAGGATGGAGATGCTTGTTTTGTCTCCAACTTTAGTCCAGTTGTGTAGGTGTTGAAGGGAGCTGAGACTGTCCGACAGGATCCAAAGATCTCCAAAGTCACTCTCGTTTATTATAGCATCGATGCCCTGTTCAATTGCGATTAATTCACTTCGAAAGACTGAAGTGAAATCAGGATTACGGAGACAGATGGAGTAATTTTGCCCAAATTTTTCAATGAAGACGCCGCTACCAGCTAGGTTTCCGAGTCCACTACCGTCTGTGTAAATTTTTACGGCGTCACTGGGAATCTCGCCTGAAATTTCCAAAGCTAGCTGCCTAAGTTCAGCTGGAATATGACCTTTCTTTGTGACCGGAGCAAAAAAGCCGAAGTGGAAATGGACACGGGGGACTCCTTCTGAAGGATTCAGACAAGATTTTAAGGAGTGGGGCTCAACGTCTGCAGAAGGCAAATGCAGAAGTTCAGCATGACTGAATGGACTGTTTTTCTTCAGTCGCTGATAATTGCGCCAGTTGTTAAGGTAAAGAGAGGTTTTATTGTGCTGACCATAGCTAGAAAGTTTGTTGAAATAATTGGTGAGATTAGCCTTTCTTCTAGTTTGGAGGGGTTGAGGATCAGCCTCACAGAGGACTATTTCCTTAGGGCAACTACGTCTGAGTCCAGTAATTATTCTTGCAGCACTTAGTTGGACCCTTTCCAATTTATCCAGGTTAGTGGCAGAAGCACAGGAGTACACAGGAAAGCCATATTCCAGGATGGGTCTAATGAGAGACAAATAGGTACCTCTTAACGTGACAGCATCGGCTCCCCAATCTTTGCCCGCAATATATTTAAGTAAGTTTAATCGCTTTTTGCATTTTGAGACAATATGTTCAATATGTTTGTTGCTTGTCCATTCTGGGTCTGAGACGTATCCGAGATAAATTGGATGCTTTTCGTAAGCAAGATTCTTGTTATCCATCCTTATATTTGGCTGATAGTTGTACAATCTTTTGTTGGTGGTAAAGAAAGTGACGATGGATTTGGCAGGATTAAAACAAAGTTTGAACTCCGAAGCGTAGTCTGAAAAAGCAGATAATGCATTGTTAAGATTCCTTTCCATTTCGACTAAATCATTTCCAGAGCTCCAGAGAACGATGTCGTCAGCAAACAAGTCACCTTTTACAGCTTTAGGAGGTGTTTTCTCAATGCCTGCCAAGTAAAAAGAGAACAGCGTAGGGCTCAGGACCGAACCCTGAGGGACGCCTTGTCCGAGCTCAACTGGGTCTGAGAAGGTGTTGTTAAAATTCACCCTGATAGATCTGTGGTGCAGGAAATCCGAGATCCACGCCAAGGTGTTACCACGAATGTTAAATGTGTCGTGTAGTTTAATTAATAGCTTGTGCTTCCATACCCTGTCAAACGCTTTCGTAAGATCCAGGAGAGCGGCAATAGTGTGGTGGGTGGGGCTGAGATTTTGAGCATCTCTTATGTTCTGGCAGAAAAAAAGGATTTGATCAATAGTGCTATGTCTTTGCTTGTACATACATCTATGTACATATAAATGAGCATGCATACATGTATGCATTTTATTTACGCAACTATGCGCTTATATTGTACCTTTAAGCATCATTCTTACATTTTGTACGTAAATACGTACAATTTTATATACATACGTGCATTGTATATACGTGCTATTATCGTAAAATGATACAATGTATGTACTTAAGTACATAAAAGCATGCGATAGTATAAACATTATTTTCATATACGTTCATACTTATATTGTCTATGTATACAAAGGTAGAAAACATTACATTTTCGTGCAAACTTATATACATGCGTACATGTATCATAAATTTATAATTATATGTACTAAGGATATACGTATAGCATTAAGTATATTACAATATAATTATGTATATTGTACGTACAAACAACATTTGTGCATACATTGTATATCTATATATAGGGATCACAAATTGTATGTTCATGCGTGTGTACTTTCTATGTACATAAAAATATGTAAACCCATACGTTCTTACAAAATGAATTTGCGTATAGTATGCAATCGTAATAACTTGTAATCGTATAGTTTGATTGCACATAATCACGATTACATGTAATCATATAGTTTGATTACGCATAATCACGATTACATGTAATCATATATTTTGATTACTTGTAATCATGAGTACCCGTAATCGTTTTTGTTGTGATTACTTGTAATCACAATTACTTGGAATCATGATTACAGTTGTAATCAAAATTTTGATTACGGCTGTAAACAAAATTACAAGAAATTGATTACTGTAATTACTATTGTAATCATGATTACAGCTGTAACTTTTGATCTAATGAATAAATCTTCATGTACCAGGATTCAGTACTAAGGGTTTATGGAGGAAATGCTTATTTTAATTAGGACAATACTTTTAGTAACAATATTACGCTCAGAATAATCAAGGAGATGATCTCAAATACGATTATTTTACTAAGTGCAGACTATATTTTAAGTTACAAAATCACGCGCTGAATACACAAGCCTTGTTTTCAATTTCTGAGCTTCAAAATCCCCAATCTGGGAAATATGGTTCTTGTTGATCCAAATACCAACTCCAGTGTAGGTAAGTATGCAGCGCCACCTATCTAACTCCAAGTGGTTTGCGCCAGCGCCACCAAAATTATTCTGGGTATTTAAGTTACTCTGAAAATGGCAAGAGATGTAAGAAAGATCTGGAAATATTTTTGAATTGGCTTTTGAAATATTTTGAAACTCTGAGCTTTTTGTTGTTTTTTATTTAAAATAAATATTTTTTTTGTGTTTGTTTTAAAATATTGTCAATTGATAGACAAGATGCCTCTCGCAATCGTAGTCAATCCGGTTAGTAATGACATTTCTGGCTCCCCCGGTAGGGCGGCCTTGTCTTAAGGATTGGCAACGAAAGGTACGAAAAGGAATTTCCATTTTGAAGTTATTATTGTATTAGATATATTTATAACTCATTAAATATTGATTAGTAAATTAATGAACTAGAACAGATAGTAAGAATGGAAATTTTTAAAAGAAATAAAACAGTGCAGCGTACTTCATTCACGAAAGCTTACACTAAGTTAGAGAAAAAGTTACTTCATGAAAATGCTTATGAGGAAGAAATAGAAATGTGTTTACATTTGATTAAACAGAAAGAGGAAACGTTAGAACTGACACACAATAATTATTTGGACACTTTAACAGATGAATCAGAATTTAACACTGAATTCAATATTGTAGAAGAATATAGAGAAAAGGCTTTAAGAATAGAAATAAAATATAAACGAGTATTAGAAAATATTAAGAACCAACCGAAAAATAACGAAACTAATCATCCCATTGATAAATCTAATTTGATATTGGGTGAGAATCCATATAAAACGATATCTCCACGACTTCCCGAAGTTGAATTGTACAAATTTGGCGGAGAATTAAAGGACTGGCTACTTTTTGGAACCAGTTTAAAAGTATACTCGAAAATAAGAGTTTAACTGCTAGTGATAAATTTCATTATTTAATCTAATTAGCGAAAATTAAATCGGAAGCTAGAGAAATTGTTGAATCTTTTCCTATCACTAATGAAAATTACCCTTTGGCGATAGAAAGCTTAACTGAAATATATGGGAGAAAAGAATTATTAATTGATTTTTATATTCTAGAACTATGTTGTATCTTTACTCCAGCTCCATCTACAGTAACGTTTTGTAACAGTCAGAGTCGCAATAAATAAGCTGTCAAAAAGGTTGGTGGTGCTCTCTCTCTTGTCGTATTCCATTTACCAGATTTAGATAAATTACTAACTTTAGGTCTTACCAGCGATAATACAGTCCACACCAATTAGAAATGAAGATTCATGGATAAATTACCCCCCTTTTGTTACCCCGCATCAACAAACTATTAAAACTTGTTTTAGATAACGCAACTAGAAAGAAACAAGAGTCTTTAAGTGGATTGTATAATAAACTTTCTACTCAACTTCGAGCTCTAAGTACTTATAGGTGTAACTACGAACCAGTGCGGCATAATTTTATATCCTTTGGTTGAAAGTTCATTACCGACCCATGTATTGCGATCATTTGAAAGGCAAGCAAAAAATATTGAGTCAGAACAAAAGATATTTGGTCTTGATGCTATAGTTTCGTTTTTAAAAAGTGAGGTACAATCAGAAAATAAAATAAAATTGTGTAGAGAACAAATATATTTTGTTCCCTCCCTTCGAGAGATCATATTTCTTCTGCGGCTGAATTAATTAGTCATAACATGAAAGATGATAATTTGTGTATGTTTTGTTTAAAGATATCCATATACCATGAGATCCAATTTTGCAAGAAGGCATTTTTTATTCCTCTAGAAGAAAAACTATTAGTTATTAAAAGGAAAGGTTTATGTCACGTTTGTGTAGTGAAAGATCATTTAGCTGAAGAATGTTTGTCTAATATTAAATGTCCAATCTGCTTTAAGAGACACTTGAAATTTATGTGTCCTAATTTAGAACATAATCGATCGAGTGAAATATCAAGACCTGATTCTAATGATGAAGAAAAAATTACAGATACTTTGCATTCACGTGTGGGGACATCAAATGAAGTGTTTTTGAAAAATCTTGTGGTTATGATTAAAGGGAAAAGGGCTCAACGTAAAGCTAGAATTATTTTAGATACAGGCTCTCAGAAGTTGTGCACTAAAAAATCATCTGCAGAAGTATTGGGTTTTGATTTTCAGAGAGAAGAGGAGTTTTCACATTCATTATTTGGAGGTAAGAAAACCGAAACACAACGGCATAGGTGTTATAAAATTTATCTAGATAGTCTCGACGGTAGATATAGTTGCAGTTTAGATTCTCTGGATCAGGATATAATTTGTCAAGGTATAGCCAGCATTAGGTATGGACCCTGGATGAGTGAATTGAACCGAAAGAAAATATTTGTAACTGACTTTCAAAATATTTTAGAACCTATTGATGTACTTTTAGGAGCTGACGTTATAGGTAAACTATTTACTGGCGAAAAGGAACAATTGAAATCGGGATTAGTCGCCATGAAGACTAAACTGGGTTGGACATTAATGGGAAAGGTCCCGCAGTTACAACATCAAAGGGTGAATATGGCTACCGTTAGTATGTTATCTCAAGACTTACCCGTTCCTTTTTTGTGGGACTTGGAGCTGCTAGGCATTAAAGATCCCGTTGAACAAAAAACTAAAGAAGACCAACAAAAGGCCGTGATGGTTCATTTTCAAGATATTGTTGGAAAAGATTCAGAAGGTAGATACGAAGTGAGTTGCCGGAGAAAGGATCACTCATGTTTGCCAAATATATACGAATTGTCTCTCAAGATATTAGAATCTACTTATAAGAAACTGGAGAAAATGGGATACAGAGAAAAATATCTGCAAGTTTTTGAAGATAGAGGAAGGAGTGATTAAAGAAGTTCCACCTGAAGAACTGTCAGTGCCTGACACGCAATACGTACCTTCCCCATCGTCCAGTTATTAAAGAAACATCAGTGGCGTCTTCTTTAAAAATCAGGCCAGTATTCGACGCCTCAGCTAAAATGCCTGACTACCCTCACTAAATGACTTTTCAGAGACCGGATTGAATTTAATTGAGACGATTCTTTCCATTTTAGCCAGATTTCGGTTATATGAAATTGGCGTGATCTCTGATATCAGCATAGATTTCTTGCAAATTTCCCTAAATGAAAATGATAGGAATTTCTTACGATTTCTTTTGTATGATAAACAGAATAATGTTAAGACCTACAGACACAGACGAGTTGTTTTGACCTGATAAGTAGCCCCTTTTTATTGATGGGAGTTATTAATCATCATTTATCCAAAGAGACTCTTAAGTTACAATATTCTCAAGAACTTTTAGAAAAACTGAGGAATAGTTTTTATGTTGATAATTGTGTAAAGAGCGTCAAGAAAGTGCCAGAATTGGAAAATTTTATGAAGACGGCAACAGAAATTATGAAAGAGAGCCAGTTTGAACTTAGAGGGTGGGAAAGCAATGTACCCTCTGATGACTCCCTTTCAAACTCTGGAACGCATGTCCTAGGCTTAGTATGGAACAAAGACCATGACACGTTAAAAATTGATTTACAGTCGTTGAAACTGGAAAAAAAAGAATTTCTAAGCTTGGCTAAAAGAATTTCAAAGTTTTCAAGAATAGTCAGAGATAGAATAGTCATGGATGCTACGCTTTCATCCGAAAAATAAAAATTTAAGGAATCATACAGACCTAACACCAGAAGAAATGATAAATTCTCCAACGACACTACTACATTCAATGCAAAAAGAGTGTTTCAATGACGAAGAAGGTAAAAAATCTTATCTTAATAAAAACTTTCAGATTTTTAAAGATCATGATGATATGCTTCGACTAAAATCTAGACTCGCTAACGATGATGAAACACCTGAATTTGTAGCTCCTTTAATAATTCCATCGAAGCATTTAGTCGTCAAACGACTCATTGAACAGGAACACTTAGTAAATAAGCATGCTGGAGCTTCTATTCTCTTAACAATTTTTAGAGAAAGATTTTGGATCATCAAAGGAAGGAAAACTATTCGCTCCGCCATTAAACACTGCTTCACTTGTAAAAGACAGAGGGTACAAAATCTCGAAGTTCCATTCCCTCTTTTACCTCAAGATTGAACTAAATTATCTTCTGTTTTTAAAATGACTGGTGTTGATTTGGACCGGCCTTTGATAACCAAATCGAATGAGAAGGTTTGGAACCATTTCAAGTTAGTTTGGTAAAATAATGATAGATAATTAATGATATATTATTTCATGTAAATGTAAATAAATTCTTACCGTAGGTCTTCGCATAGTCCGAGTTTTCTGAAACAAAAAACGAGAATAATTTGTTAAATCTATTGACAGCATTACTTGCTTCATTCATATTTAAAATATTAACTTTATATACATTATAATACACTCAAATGACAAAAATCATGGAATTGCCAATATTTAAGTGACCAAATAGGAAGGTGATGATAGCATTGTTTAATGGTGTTTTTCATTGATCTTTTTTAACAAATGAAAATAAAAAAAGACAAAATTTAATTGTCTTAATATTCGAAACAAAGCTATAAATTTAAACTGCGTATACTATTTTGCTTTAAAGATTTAATCTGGGATTCAGAATCATTAAATGTAGTTCAAATATGAAAATGGCAATTTTTTTTCTCTTAGAAGAAATTAAATAAAATCACAGAATAATTCTCCATTTTAGATAATTTTAATAAGCCCAGGCAACGAAACATTGGAATAAGTTTTCACCCATTGAAAAACTCAATTTGAAACAATTTTAATTTTCTCAAAACGTTTAATATTTTTTCTCCATATTGACATTTTAAGTCATTTTCGTAATAAGCGTAGAGAGCGCGTGCTAAACATAAGTAAAACCTAATAACTATGAATATAGCTTTTTCAAACTTAGCAATAGTTATAAAAAGTATCATTATATTTCTTGAAAGTGTTATTTTATGTGAATATAGAGCCTTCGAAGAAGACCCATGATGGAAAAGCATTGTCAGGGTAGTAATTTGCGTTATAGTTATTCACGCAAACATTTGATTACGTGATTGGTAGTGGAAATTGGTAACCGAAAAAAATTGACGAAAAACTCATTCAAATTTTGATAGTGGGTCAGTTCCCCGACGCGGATTTTCTGGTACCTGCTCCAGACTGTTCTGACAAAGGCGTTCGAAAACGAGCTGAAAAGTCTAATCAGTTTTCATCTTAAGAGAAGAGTGGGGTTATTCTTTCCTTTTATTTTTCTTCTTATTAAACGATTTTGTGCAGAGTTAAAGGTCTTGGAAACAAACTTTTTATTTTATTATAAAATATTTTCTAACGCTCCGCCGACAGTATTTTTATTACTTTTTCATCAAAATAAAATATGCATTTAGAATTTAATAGATGCATTTTAAATAGAGAGATCAAATCACACTCAGTAATATTTCTTAAGTTTGTAAAAATCTTGAATTGTATTGTATGATTCTTTAATATTTTAATTTCCTTATTGCAGTTAAATTTTCTGTTAGAAATATTCAAATTGTTGATAAGAGAATTATCAAATAAAAATAATATCCCTTGAGTTGGCTGCAGGACAAATGGGCTTAGACATAAATGTAGAGAAAACAATATATATCTTATTCTCAAGAAACAGAGTTCGAGACCCCTAGATTCTAATGGATTTGAAACAGTAAGGAGTTTTATTTATTTAGAGTTAATTATTACTATTGACAACAGAATGACTCCTGAAATAAAAAATCGAATCTATCTGGCAAAGATAGATTCGATCTGGCATGTCTATGGGCTGAGAAGATTTTTTTAAATCTAGGCTTCTTTCTAGAAAAACAAAGTTCTTAATCTACAAAACTCTTGTCAGGCCAGTCTTGACATATACTTCTGAAGCTTGGACAATGACGAAACTGGAGGAAATTGTATCACAATATTTGAGAGAAAGATTTTGCGGAGTATTCTTATTGGTGTATAACAATAACTAGAGAAGGAGATTTAACTTTGAACTGTACAACATTTATAAACAACCCGATATTATTAAATACAGCCGACCGGCCTGTGTAGGGGGCAGGGAACTGTCTTTGCATCAGAAAAGTTCTGGGTTCGAATCCCGGGCAAGGCATGGATGTTCTTTCCTTCTCTTTACTATCTGTCCTCACTGTGGGAGCGACGTTGGCCCACCTAATATGATGCCCATGAAGGAGAGGCCAACATAATCGCCCTGTAAATGCCTGAATTGTCGAATGTTAACACAGGTGGGCATTAGAAAAAAAATATTATTAAATACATAAAAATAAATAGAATTAATTGAATGACCCACGTGATACGAATGAGTGATGCCAATACAATAAAAAAGATACTGCTTTTTAGACACACTTGAACAAGAAAGCGGGGAAGGCCACGGCTGAGAAGGGCTCACTTGGTGGAGTCTGATTTTCTTGCAATTAATGAAAAGACTTGGAGATCAAAGATAAATTAGAAGTCGTTATGGTGATATCTTCAGAGGAAGGCATTAGCTCACTTTAAGCTGTCTGGCTAACTATGATGATGATGAAAGAATATTTACGTCTCAACGTTTAAATGATTAACAACAGTTAACCAGTAAACTATGAACTTCTCATAAGTTGAAGAAATTTGGAGCTTCTCCCATAGCTCCGTGTAACGTAGCAGACCCTATATTTAGCATTTTTTTAATATCGATTATCATAGCATTTGCGTATTTTTAATTTTTTGGAGAGTTTTAGTGGTGAAATGTTCAGTTTTATTTTGAGCTAGTTGAGCTTGTGGTGAGTTTTTCCTTAGAAACACAATAAATATTGGAACGAGCTCTAAAACGCTTTGTGTCGCTGAACAAGCCCACTCTTGTATATGTTCTTATTCAAATATATCGTGTTTATATATTCTTATGAGTAGTTATGCAGATTCCCATGAGTGTTCGTAATGTATTTTTCATTTGAATTTTGGATTGTATTTTTGTAGAATTGTTTTTTTTCATTTAACCCCCTATTTGTGTAATTATAGATACACAATAAATCTCTTAAGAGTCTATTTATAATGTTATGTACAATATTGTTGTGAACCTTGAAAACGTTCGCGTCAAATCAAAGAGGATCTTTAGATAAAATGACTTACAGTTTCAAATACACTGTACACGATTTTTTCTTCCGTATTCATACTATATTGAATGTTTCTGAAAGTAGAAAAATGTTGAAAATAAATACAAGATGAATAAAATTTTCGATTGACAATGATGTAAAAAACACAATTACGTAAATGAAAAAAAAATTCAAGAATTGTAGAAATTTTGTCTAACTACTCCATCAAAAGAGTACTTTAGTTAACAGTTGCGGTGAGGTATATTAATAATACTTGTTCCGTTGACAAAAGTTTAATCCTTTTACCATTCTGTTAGTAGGATTGCTACGAAACCCAGGTAATATCTCCGAAATATACATATGATTTAATAATTTAAATGAGAAATTAATAAACCAAAAATGAACTTTCAGTCTAGAACTATTTTTAGTTTTTATGAAACAATAAACGAGTAATGGATTTATAAAGTCCTTGACAGTGATAACGCCATTTCAATCATTCCTAAACTATCATTTTTCAAATTCTTTAAAGCAAAATTAATGAATGAGCAAAATTAATGCATTTTGTAATTTCTGAAATTAATGGAATTTTTTTATCAGTTAAAAAATAATGAGGAAAGTGAAAAGTCTTAACCAAATGCATTCATAGGAAAAAGAACTTTATTTTTGGAATAAAAAGTTATCAGGATTACCAAAATAGAAAGTTGACGCGCTGGATTGCATCAGGAATACAGCAGCTTTAGAAGCGCCACTTTTTAGGATATAAATTGGGGTACAGAGAGTGCCACGAGTCGATT